TTTTTAAATTTTATTGAATGAAAGCGCAAAAAATGTCGAAATATCATCAAATTTTAGAAGAAGTTTAGATTTGTTCGAATTGGTCACCTTTGGGACGAATTATTGCCTTCAAAGGTCAATAAAATCGTCACACGCTGCCCAATTGTTGCTCTGTGGTATTTTGGCCCATTCTCGGCGAAGTGCTTGCTTGAGGTGATCGACACTTTGGTATTTTTTAGTGCCAACCTTGCTTTCCAAAATACTCCAGACACAATAGTCCAACGGATTGGTATCCTAAAATTTTGGTGGCCATTGTGCGCTGGAAATGAAGCGAGGAACCTCATTTTGTAACCATTCTTAGGTGGCGCGTGTTGAGAGCGATGGGGCTGAGTCCTGTTGGAATGTCCAAGGTCTGCGGCCAAAATGTTTGCGTGCCCAAAGCTTCAATACATCCTCCAGAATATTTTCGCGATAATAATCGGCATTTATTCTGATGTCACGGTTGATTAATACGAGCGGAGAGCGACCATCGCTTGTTATGGTGGCCCACACCATCACCATGGCCGGCGCTTGAGTTCTGGTGACCAACCGAAGGATGCTACAGCCTATGACAGAAATTTGTCTATGCTGGTCCAGGCCTTCGCTCAGCTCCGATATAATATTTTGATGATTTTAGCTACATTATTCACCGTTTATTTCGTGTTTCGAATTTGAATATGGTAATGGCTTATGACAAACAATGCCTATGTAGGTTTTTTAAGGATTTTATTTTTTGCAAATTTTCAAATTCGTTCCAAATGGTGGAGGGTATTCAAAGTTCGGCCCTTCCTTTAGGGACTTTAACAATATTTTTTTCAAGGATTAATCGTGGATTTTGTTTTTCAGAATATTTTTTCAAGGACCAATAACGTGGTTCTATTGTCTAAGGACAATATGTGGCCAAATACGACTTTTTAATAAATATTCTTTTACAGATTTAACCCGATTTTGTGATATTATTTATGATATTGCCAGAACTAAATATTCTGCAGCCACTGTGCTATGCAAATAAAAGTTTTTTCTTTATTATGCTGTGATGACAGGCGTGAGACTCGCGAATATCTTAGGGCAGAGCACATCCCCTTTGAAGTGCAATAAAATGACCAATTGTTGAAGCCAAAAGACTTCTGGTGGCCCAAATGGCCCAGAGGGCAAGGAAATGGATAATTTATGAAAATTAACACTTAGCACCCATGTAACCCCTGCCCTCCAAAATATGAATCCTTTTTTATATTTTTTAAGTTTTTCGTTATTTAAGTGAAATTATTAACCTCAAGAATTTATAAATGAAATTCAAAATTTCCGAACATATAAAACCAAAGAAGACATGGCCATCATATCAATGCAAACTGAGGTCAGGGTTTTCTGTATTTATTTGAGAGTTTACCCCTTAATAGCCATTCTCTGCCTCTATCGCCTTGTGCTTCTTCAAAACTTTGCAAAATAATAATGACGGGGATATTACCAAAACTAAACAAACGAGACGTGTTATCGACGTAATTTTCAGTGTCAACACGTTTCCATTATTTGTTTTAATGACGCTAACAGGCGGACAACCCGCTTGGCCCCCAAGTCCCCGCTTGGGTTGGCCAAAAGACGAACGCCCCTTTTGTGTTGTTTGTGAGTGTGTCTCTTTGGATCTGGGTAATGTGTAATGATTTCAATGGTAATGACATCCAGACGCAGTATTGCCAACACCAACAACAACAAATTGAAGTTTTTCGACGCTGTTTTCATTGAAACCACAACAAACAAAGTTAGTGCCAAGTACAAAATAATGAGGCTACGTGACGGGAGTTGTTAAAACTGGATCAACACTTTTTAAACTCAATAAAAATTCGAACTTTTATTCAGCGGAGGGGGGCATTGGGATTTTTTTTGCATGCATACAAATTTGCGAAGGAGATATGATAGTTCGCAATTTTTGAGGTAGAAACGAAATTTACCTAGAAAAGTATGTTTTTTGAAAAATATTTTTTTCTCAAAATTGTTTATTTTAAATCTACGATTATTAGAAAAAAATATTTGTAAAAACATTCACTAAAAAAGATTAAGACTAAAAAAATATTTTTTATACTTAAAAGGCTAAAAATTCTCGAATATTAAAAAATATTTTCAAAAATAGGAAAAATATCCACAAATATTTAAAAGTGTTTTTTTTTAATCTACGAATATCGAAAAAAATATATATTTATAAAAAACCTAATAAAAAAACCAGTAAAGAAAGTCTTAAAGTCGGGCGGGGCCGACTTTATAATACCCTACACCATATATTTGATATATTTCCCTGAAGATCGTTGTTACGGTGTGCATATAACGGCTGTGGGTAACAAACATAACAAATCGGATGAACAGTATACAAATCGTAAGTGCAAAATTCCATCCCATTTGGGCAAATATTAGACGTTTGATGCACAATAAAAGGTAAATCGGACGAAGTTATATATGGGAGCTATATCCAAATTTGAACCGATCTCGATAAAATTCAGCAAATGTATTTCTGAGCTGTATTTGATATATTTCCCAAACATTGTTGTTACAAAATGCATTTTACGGCTGCGGAGGACAAAAATAACAAATCGGATGAACAATATATATAGGGGGCTATAGCTATATCTGAACCGATTTCGATCAAATTTGGCATACTTGTTTTCAGGCCTAGTTTGGTTGTATGTGCAAAATTCCATACTATTCGGTCTGATATTACACGTTTGATGCACAATAAAAGGCAAATCGGACGAAGATATATATGGGAGCTATATCTAAATTTTGACCGATTATCTCCAATTTCAATAGGGTTCATCCTTGGGCCAAACAAATGATTTGTGCAAAATTTCACTTGGATAGGACAATAAATGCGAACTGTACTTTGTTTACAAAAATACATGTACAGGCGGACAGACGGACGGACGGACATGCATAAATCGACTCAGAATGTGATTCTATGCAGATCATCAAAAGGAACTATGGGTCTATCTCGTTTCCTTTTGCCTGTTACAAACAAATGCACAAAGACATAATACCCTGACCACCTTGTGGTGTAGGGTATAAACAAGTAGAAAAACATTAAATTCGGCCGGGCCGAACTTCTAATACCCTCTACTATTGGCAAAAGAAAATATTGTTTATATAAAAGTATCTGAATTCAAACGTGTTGCACTATAAACTACAAATACCAGTAAGACCGTTATGCTGTTAACTTTTCAGAAAACCCCTAAAGTGGATGAGGACGTTGTATGGGAGCCATACCAAAACGGGAACCTCTATAGACAATTTTATACTTCAAGGATTGTCATCTACCAAATCTTCTTAAAAACCAAAATTTCGTGGGTAAATGTGACTAGGAATAATAAAATACTGAATATCGGTGTGTACCGTTATATGTGCGCTATAGAAAAACGTAAATATTCAGTGTTCTGCCAAAGGAGCTAGGGCCCACGATGACCTACAAATATCAATTTTTAGACAAAAACGTGGAGAAATGTGGCAAAAATCAGCAAAATAGTGAGTATCCGGAGGTACCTTATGTGGGGGCTATACGAAAACATGGACCTATATATACTATGTTCCGCCACCGGAGCTAGAATTCATAACGACCTACAAATATTAATTTTTGGACAAATCCTTGGAAAAATGTGGCAAAAATCATCATCCCGAGTATTGGTGGTAGGACCGTTATATGGGGGCTATGCAAAAACGTGGATCTATATATACAAAAATTTCGCCACCGGAGCTAGAACCCATTACGAAATACAAATACTAATTTTTTGACAAATCCATGAAAAAATGTGGCATAGACACCGATATATGCCATCTACACACCAGAACTTGAGTTAATAAAAATGATGAGATGTGTGAAATTTGAAGAGAACAGGATGCTTATTTCGGATTTTATTATCGTTTTGGTTATTCTCTCACCCTCTCACCTTTATGGAAATATTAAAATGTGTCAAGTCTGAATGGAATCGGATGTTAATGTCGTGTTTTATGAGCTTCATGATTATTCAAATTTTTGACCATTTGTGGGGGAGGTACCAAAAGGAGTGGACTGATGCATTCCATCTTTACACCAGACCTTGAGTTAATAAGAATATTGTGATGTATGTAATCTGAAGACAATCGGACACTTACATCACATTATATAACAGTTATAATTGTTCAAAATTTTGACCCGTTGAGGGGGAGGTACTTGATGGTGTGCGCCGATTTTGTCCATTTTCACACCTGACCTAGCACTGATGTAAATATTAAGATTTACAAAGTTGGAGCAAAATCGGATTATCCTTTCTCTTTCTGTGAAGAAATAAATATTTTCTTTTTGAAAATTTCGCCCTTTCGTGGGGAGAAGGTATGGACTGATATTTCCCATCTCCAAGCTCGATCTAAGTTTGATAATAATATTACGATGTACCAAGTTTGTACGAGTTGGATGCTCCCTTGCAGAGTTATTGTGCGCACCAGCCAGACTGATGGATGGACGGACACCCCATAGATCGACTCCAAATGCCCTGAAATGCATTTTGTGCGTAAACCGTAATTTCGATGAGGCACATTTAGGTCGTTATCAAATGTTATATACCCTCTGTAGCCATAAATGTTCTAAAAAATTAAATAATAATCAACAAATTTAAAAAAAAATATTCTAAAAAAATCCGCGAATATTGATAAAAATTTCAGAAGAAGGTCAGATAGCAATTTTGATACTGGGTACCTACTATAAGTTGTTAAAAAGCTTTCAGGGATCGTTTGGATGGTGGAGGATTTACCAAGTCCTTCTTAGGGCCGCAGACCTTCACAGGTCATCACGAAATATTCTATAGTCTTCTGAAGGTCCTTTACCTAAATTAACCGTATTTTATTGCTTTGAATAAACCCGATTACTTTACCAAAGACTCCACTTAACAGCCTTTTCACATTACCAAGACAACCAAAGGCGGCCGCTGCCGGTTGCCATGGTAACTAACTCCTCTGCCACCACTGGCATAATTGCTGGTGTAGCTTTTCAATGAGCCTGCAAAAAAGAGGAACTGCTAAAACAATAGCCCGGTTTTCAAGTTGTTGGCTTTTGTGTAACGAATGAAAATTGTGAAAAGGAAACCGAAAACTGGAAAAATATAATCCTTTCCCTTTTCTCCAACAAGGAAGGTGGAACAAAGCAACAAAGTCACACAGCAAATTCCTGCAAAAAAAAAAAAAACAAAAGGACGTAGGAAGGACTGGCATTAGACCACAAAAACAAGCAACTTGCCTCGGTTCATTCTCTAGGCCCTTATCATGAACTATTATGATGAAGAGATTCCAGTGAATGCTTTGGCGGCTGGAGCAGCAACCGTGAAACCAACACCGCCACCCAGCAATGCCAAGGTGGAACGTATCTCTAGTCGCGGAAGCAATGGTGACAAAGCAAGTGTGTTGGGTAGTGGTAGATCCGTTGCTGCTGTGGGTGGTAATGGTGGTGGTGGTGGTGGTGCTGTCCAAAGAGCAGGAAGTGGTAATGGTTTGCAGCGTAGCATAGAAATGGTGGGAAGACCTCGCCAGCGAACAATGGTAAGAAGGGGTGGGCAAGGATGTTGGCCAAGGATTATGGAAATGTTTGAAGGCTCAGGTATGCAAAACGAGGATACAAAATGAAAAACAGCTTAAGGATATATTATTTCGGAAACCAGATTGATGTCCCTTGGGTCCTTCAACAATTTTCTGGCCCTGGCCCTTGATCCTTTGAAAAATCTACGCTGGATGGCCCTGAGGGTCCCTTAAAAATATTGGAAAATTTCATTTTGAAACCCCCCTTTACCCTCCTTTTCTTCCCCCCAGATGCATGGCAACTCCACCGATGATGATGGCCTGTTGCAGGACATTTTGGATCATGACGATGAAGACGATGATGACGACGAAGAGGATGATAGTGAAATACAAATGGAGGCCAAACCTTCCATACAACCCATTCTCACTGAGGCCCAGCCGGACTTTATGAAGCGTACCAGTGGAGGAGCTGGTGGTGGTGTTGGCGGAGCCATTGGCCGCAATAACCCTCTACGTCCTGGCAGTTCTCGCATGAAAATGAATCTGCCAACAGCCAAAGTTTTGGACAACGACTCCGAGGCTTCCGAGACGGACAGTGAAGAAGGTGGAGAAGAATCCAAGGGAGTCACCGGAGATTATGCCCCAAATTGGGAGGCCTCACAAATGAGCATAACACCAGAAAAATGGGAATCTCTACAGGTTCCCCAGGAGGTCAAGGATCTATTCCCGTACATTTTGAAATATATACCCCAGCACATTGAGACGGCCTATCACTTGCAGCCATTCATCCCGGATTTTGTACCGGCAGTGGGTGATGTTGATGCCTTCTTAAGGGTGACCGGGCCGCCAATGCTCAATCCCCAACGCAGTCGGGAAGTTGATGAGCATTTGGACAAACTTGGCCTTTACTTTTTGGATGAACCTTCGGGCACCCAAAGTGAACCCAGTTTACTTAACATGAAACTGCGCTCTGCCCTCACGGGAAGTGGCAGTCATGCCCGTTCCTCCTCCGCCAGCATGGTACCCACTGCCAAGTCCAATAAGGACATTGACAAATGGATCAATGAAGTTGAACAGGTCCACATGACCCAGTCCGTGTATGATGTCCAGCCTCGCAAGGATATTGAGAACATGATAATTGATTGGCCACGTTCGTATGCCAATGTGGCTGGCAGTGTGCAGCAGGCCTATCAACAGTGTGCGGCCGGCCAACAGACTGTCATTGATTATGTCCGCATCCTCTGTCAACAGTTTGAGCTGCAGGGACCACTTGAGACACAAGCCGATTATTTGTTGAGTGTTCAAACATTGTTCGCTTTGTATTTGGCAGCCAATCAGGCATGGGAGTGAATGGAAAAGGAAAGCCGAAGGGGCAAGGTCATGGAGAGTAGGCTGCTTAAGATGGGAGAGAGGCATAACCCAGTAAATATTTTTTCGCATAGTATTAGAAATGTTTAGTTTTAAATCCGAAAATCGAAATAAAATATACTTATCAATGTGAAAGAAATGGATTTTTTCAAAAAAGAAATTTTCAACACCGAACAATCGACTATAAAAATTGATTTAAAATAAAAACTTTCCAAGGCCCAAAGACTTGATTTTCGCACAAATATTTTTTAAGGATAATTTTCAATTCTTTGAATGATTGTCATGCTGATTGAACGATGTCACAGAAAACTATTTCCCTCATTGAACAAGAATGGAACATAGAATTTTGTGCGAACTTTGGAAAACCCAATATTTTTTTCATGATTAGGTCAGGGGCGAAATTGGACAACAAAACAACTCCATCAAGTACCTCCACACAACATCCACGAAGCTCGTAAAACAGGAAATGACAATCATGATCTGTTCTGAAAATGGTAGATATCGGCCTACTGCATTTGGTCCCACCCCATAAGGTGTTAAAATTTTTGATAAACAAAAAAGCTCACAAATGTTCGAAATAAGCATCCGATTCTCTTCAAATTTCACAAATCCCATTATTTTTAGCAACACAAGATCTGTTGTGAAGATGGCCCCCATAAACGGGTCAAAATTTAAAATAATTATATCTCTCATAAAACGCGAAATGACAATTCAATTCTCTTAAAATTTCACACATCTTAATATTTCTATCAACTCAAGATCTGGTGTGAAAAGAACAGACATCGCTCCACCTCTTCTGGTACTTCCCCCACAAAGGGTCAAAATTGTGAATAATAATAACCCTCATAAAATGCGAGGGAAACATTCGATTATTTTCAAACTCGTCACATATCAATATATCAATCAACACAAAATCTCCAGTGAAGATGGTAGATATCGGCCCACTCCTTTTGGTACCTCCCCCACAAAGGGGCAAAATTTAGAATAACCAAAATGCTCATAAAATGCGAAAAAAGCATCTGATTTTATTCAAATTATTTATTCGAATATTTCTGCCAACACAAGATCTGGTGTGAAGATAGAATATATAGGACCACTGCCTCTGGTACCTCTCTCACAAACAGGTTAAAATTTTGAATAAGCTAAAGCTCATAAAACGCGAAATGAGTATCCGATTCCTTTTAAACTCGGCACATCCCAATATTTATATCAACACAAGATCTGGTGTGAAGATGATAGATATCGGTCCACTCCTTTTTGTACCTCCTCCACAACAGGTAAAATTTTGATTAATTATAATTCTCCTAAAAAGTAAAATAAGCATCCGATCCTTTTCAAAATTCACACACCTAAATATTTCTGCCATCACAAGATCTGCTGTGAAGATGGAATATCTCGGTCCACTTCTTGTGGCACCTCCCCCACAAAGGGTTAAAATTTTTAATAACCACAACGCTCATGAAATTCGAATAAGCATCTGATTTGCTTCAAATTTCACATATTCCAATATTTCTATCAACGCAAGATCTGGTCTGAAGCTGGGATATTGGTCCATTCCTCGTGGTACCTTACCCACAAACGGTTAACATTTTGAAATACTTATAAAATGCGAAATAAGTATCCAATCCTCTTAATTCATCTCTTAATTCTTAATTCATACATCTCAAAATTTCTGTCAACACAAGATCTGGTGTGAAGATATTAGATGTCGGACTACTCCATCTGATACCGCCCCAACACATTTTGAAAAACCCAAACGGCAACAGACTCCGAAATAAGCATCCGATTGCATCTAAACTTCACCGATTCCATTACTTCTACTAAGACAAGATCTTCTGTGAAGATGGTAGATATCGGTTCACTTCTTGTAGTACCTTCCTTATATATACCTCTCACATCCTGGGAAAGAAGTCAGCGATACTTCTAAAATTCCCATCAGATCTCTCACTTTACGAAAAAGTCCTTAAAATCTCTTATTCTGAAGATTACCGAGTAATTAGTAAAGCCATTGCACAATGGACCCATATCCAATTTTTCTGTCCAAAACTCTTTCAACGTGTTCATATACACTTAAACCCTCAAAATCAAATTTCAGGATTTCAGCTCTTTAATTTTTCCCAATGCTATATGTAGTACGAGGAATCCAGTTCTATAGGGTGAGATATTAAAATGCCAACAAAGTCAAACGCCACAATTTAAGTTTTTTTTTAATTTTATTAAATGAAAGCAAAAAAATATCGGAAATAACATCAAATTTTAGAATAAGTTTAGATTTGTTCGAATTGGTCACCTTTGACACCAATTATGGTCTTCAAACGGCCAATGAAACCGTCACACGCTTCCCGAATGTTGATCTCCGGTATTTTGGCCCATTCCCGGCGAAGCGCTTGCATGAGGTGATCGACACTTTGGTATTTTTTAGTGTCAACCTTGCTTTCCCCAAATACTCCAGACACAATAGTCCAATGGATTGGTGTCCGGAGATTTTGGTGGCCATTGTGCGCTGGAAATGAAGCGAGGAACCTCATTTAATAACCATTCTTCGGTGGCGTGCTCAGTGCATTGGTGCTGAGTCCTGTTGGAATGTCCAAGGTCTGCGGCCAAAAGTTTTGCATGCCCAAGGCTTTAATACACCCTCCAGAATATTTTCGCGATAATATTCGGCATTTATTTTAATGCGAGGGTCGATTAATACGAGCCGAGAGCGATCATCGGCTAGTACTTCTCGTATAATTTTATAACACATTTCCAAAACCACGTCCATATCTCAAATGCAGATACCAACAGAGTACTCAATATAAAACTTGGGAATTCCCAATATCTAATTTAGTGCCATTTAGTACTTTTCGTTCAAATATAGGTCCCAAATCTCAATCACAGATACCATCAGTATTCTAAATATCAAATTTCAGAATTTTATCTCTATCCCTTCACACAATACACAATACTTTTCGTACAATTATAGTACAGATTTCCGAAATCACCTCTTTATTATAAAAATACCACGAAACAATACAACATTTTAAAATTCCAGCTTCTTCTGTTAACCATAACCAAACTGTTTCAAATTTAGTACCATTTAGTACAGTTCGCACACTTAGTACACAGTTCCCAAAACCACCTTCATATATCAGACTTACTTTCCAACCTTGATACTCCTGCAAAATTTTTAGCTGTATACATTTGTATAATAACAAAATGTTACGATTTTGGATATTTATTACCATTTCAGAATTTTTCGTAACATAATAGTTTAAATTTCCAACTACCCTTTGGTATATTTATGCTGTTTTTCTAATTCGTGGATTCGTACGATTTTTTTTTTTAATTTTCGGGATTTTTTTTGGAATATTTTTCATATAAACCTTTGAATTTTCAAGGTCTCTTCTCTTCCATAGTTAGTTATCTGCAAAAATTGTCTAACATTTGCTCTACTTGACCCCCACTAGCCACACATTGCATAAACATCAACATTATCATCAGGGGCCTAATGCTCGTACTCGATATCGAGTTGTTTCGATAGATAATTTGAATTCTTGGATTACCGTATCCGTGATCGAATAAAATTTATCGATATGTCGAATAAAACTATTCGAGTTTTTGCCCGCCACATTCTACCTGTCGAGAACAAAACAAAACAGAAGAAAAACGAAATGTAAGTATTAAAAAATGTAATTATATAAATAAAATGGATATAATTGAGCCTTTTATTTCACAGGAGCACGAATTGCAACAAAATAAATTTTAAGCAAAAGGCAATTATGGCAGATTTTATGTCTGACCACCCGGGACTTGCCAAAGGAAAAATTTCGAATTGTCCAGAAGGTAGAGCGTCATCAAATCGTTTGTGGGAGCAGTTGACAACCAAATTAAATGGAGCAGGACCACCCGTAAAGAATGTCACCTTGTGGCGAAAGGTATATATTGAAAAGTGGTATGAAAAATTATGTTTCACAGTTTTCCTTTCCAAGGTTTATGCAGACCAAAAACAACATGTTAAGAAGAAATTATCTTTTAACAAGGCATCAAAGAATCAGACAGGTGGAGGCCCATATGAAGAAAAACTCATCACCCAATCAGAAGAGCTGATACTGGAAGCAGCAGGATTATCAGCGGCTGTAGAGGGGCTTTCTTCAGTCCAAAGTTTTGGTGCAAAAAAATGTAAAAATGCATATATTATTTTATTTTAGAATCGAAAAAGTCAATATATTCTTACCTCCAGGAATCCGAAACTTTGTACAGAAATGTTCCATACACAAAGCCGACTGGTCTGGTGAAAAGTTGATGTGTTCTGGACAAAGTTTTAGTTCCATTTCTTTTGCGACTCGCTGGACAACCCTGCAGGTTGCGCTTTGGCTCATTCCTATAAGAAAATCATTACCCACAGTGTGCTGAAAACTTCCACTGGCCAAGAGTGACAAAGTTGATGCCAATTGTAGAACTGCCGGAATGGACGATGACATATGTCCGGAGAAATCTAGTCTAGATAACACATATCGAAAAGCATCTTTTGTCAGTCTAAATCGTTGACGGAATCTGCAATGAATTGCAAAAATTATAAACACCACACTTGCATGCATTTTCATATTATACTTACGCATTTTCTGACAATGATAAGGGGTCACTACGTTCTCGAATTTGTCTTCTTATTATATTTATATTATTACCGTCCTCATCTTCCGAAGAGGATAATACAAAAAAACACGTATCCAAAATTTTTTTTAACTTTTAATGAAGCGGCAAACAATTGTTTTGTTTACTTTTTGGATGAAAACATATGTTTCGATTGTCGGTATTTCGATTATTTTTTGACAATAATCGATAAATTTTTGAATAATTCCATTCGAGTCGTATCATTCAATTAGTAACTACGGATCGTAATTTAACTTCGAACAAAATCTCACTCTATATCGAGTACGAGCATTAGGCCCCAGATTTTCTCTTACCCTCGACATTGTCTCACAACATTCACAACCTCTATGCTGCATGGTTGTCGTTGTTCCATTTGCAAATATTCTTCTTGTGGTATGTTTCCTTAATTGGAACATGTTATGTCTGAGAGAGAGAGGGTGCTGCAACCCATTCTCCTCGAATTTCACTGTCGACATCCTCCGTCTTCATATGTGATTATGTTGTTGTTTTCATAGCTTCCGGTGTGGTGTTGGTGGGTGGGTGGGAATGTGTTTGGACCATAACATTGACCACCATCATCATCGGTCGTTCGATGGTCGTCAATGTTTCTTCTTCTGCTGAGGTTTTGAACCACGAATTGTTCCGTGTTCGAAACCAAAATTGTGACCGGGGGGTAATTTGTGCAAATTGCTTTTCAATGTTGCCTTAAGAACGGACATTCTTCTTATGAAGGACATCCACATCGGAACACAACACAAGGTGTATGTATGCATGCAGGTGCATGCCACATGTATATTCGAAAGGTAATGAGTGAGTTATCAAGGATTAAACCATTCGGAAAATATTTGTTATGAAAACAAAGACAAATGGGAATGGAAGAATACAAAATGAATGGAAAGGATATTGATTTTTGTTTTAGATTATGATTAGATTGACGATGAATTTAAGTTGTTGTTAGAGGAGTATTGGAGGAAATTTAAATTGGCAGGAGGTGATTTTTAAAAAATATTCCTAAAAAATCCATTAAAAATAAAAAAAAGGTAAATTAAATCAGTTGGTATTGCCGACAGCTGCATACCATCAGCCAATGTTCGATTATTTAAATATATTTTGACTTGCGTTATGATTATTCAAACCGTTAACTCTCCACAGGAGAAGTTATGAAGTAGTGGGCCAATATTTTCTATTTCGTATCTGACATAAGTTTCATATTAAAACGTTTCAGATTTGGATTTTATATCAACTACTTGCTTCACCTTAAATTAGATATTTCATAATATTTCGGAAAGTTCGCGTTATATGAGAGTTTTATTTCTTTAAAATTTTGACCCGTTGTGGGGGAGGTACCAAATGAAGTAGTCCGATATTATCCATCTTCACAACATAGAAGTAATGGGATGTGCCGAGTTTGAAAGTAATCTGATGCTCATTTCACTTTTTTCGATCTTCATGATTAATCAAAATGTTTACCTAGTGCTGGGGAGGTATCCGAAACAGTGGACCGACATTGTCCATTTTCGCACCTGACCTAGCACTGATGCAAATATTAGGCTTTGGAGCGAAATCAGATTATCGTGTCTCTTTCTGTGCAGCAAATAAATTTCTATGAAAATTTCGACCTTTTGTGGGGGAGGTACCATAAGGAGTGGACCGATATTGCACATCTCCGAACTCGATCAAAGTTTGATACAAATATTACGATATACCAAGTTTGGACTAAATCAGATACTTCCTTTGAGAGTTATTGTGCGCAACAGACAGCCAGACGGTCGGACATCGCTAGATCGACTCCAAATGTCCTGAAAGGGATTTGGTCCAAAGGGACAGTTATTTCGATGAGGCACATTTTGGCCATATCAAATGATATATTCCCTCTGTATATATTCATAGGTCCCTCGTTTTTTTGTCTGAAGGTCCTTGAAAAAATATTTTTAAAAAATCCTCGTTAAATTGTCTGAAGGTCCTTGACAAATATTCTTTAAAAATTATTGGTCCATTGATCCTTCAAAAAATATTCTTTAAAAACTCCACGTTTATAGGTCTATTGGTCCTTGAAAAAATATTCTTCAACAAATTCATGTTTATTTGTCTATTGGTCCTTGAAAAAATATTCTTTAAGAAATCTAAGTTTATTGGTCTATTGGTCCTTGAAAAAATATTCTTTAAAATCCACGATTATTGGTCCTTGAAAAAATATTCTTTAAAATCCACGATTATTGGTCCTTGAAAAAATATTCTTCAAAAAATCCACGTTTATTGGTTTATTGGTCGTTGAAAAAATATTCTTTAAAAAATCCACATTTATTGGTCCTTGAAAATATATTCTTTAAAAAATCCACTTTTATTGGTCCTTGAAAATATATTCTCTAAAAAGGCCACGTTTATTGGTCCTTGAAAATATATTCTTTAAAAAATCCACGTTTATTGGTCTATTGGTCCTTGAAAAAATATTCTTTAAAAAATCAACGCTTATTGGTCTTTTGGTCCTTAAAAAAATATTCTTCAAAAATCCACATGTATTGGTCTTCTGGTCCTTGAAAAAATATTCTTTAAAAAATCCAAGTTTATTGGTCCATTGGTTCTTGAAAAAATATTCTTTAAAAAAACAGGTGTATTGGTCTATTGGTCCTTGAAAAAATATTCTTTAAAAATCCACGTTTATTGGTCCGTCGGTTTATAAAAAATTATTCTTTAACAAATCCTCCTTTAAAATATCCACGTTTATTTGTCTATTCGTCCTTGTTCTTGTCCTTGAAAAATATTCTTTAAAAAATCCACGTTTGTTTGAAGGTCTTTAAAAATATTCTTTAAAAAATCCACGTTTGTTTGAAGGTCTTTAAAAATATTCTTTAAAAAATCCACGTTTGTTTGAAGGTCTTTAAAAATATTCTTTAAAAAATCCACGTTTGTCTGAAGGTCTTTAAAAATATTCTTTAAAAAATCCACGTTTGTCTGAAGGTCTTTAAAAATATTCTTTAAAAAATCCACGTTTGTCTGAAGGTCTTTAAAAAATCCAGGTTTGTCTGAAGGTCTTTAAAAATATTCTTTAAAAAATCCACGTTTGTCTGAAGGTCTTTAAAAATATTCTTTAAAAAATCCACGTTTGTCTGAAGGTCTTTAAAAATATTCTTTAAAAAATCCACGTTTGTCTGAAGGTCTTTAAAAAATCCAGGTTTGTCTGAAGGTCTTTAAAAATATTCTTTAAAAAATCCACGTTTGTCTGAAGGTCTTTAAAAAATCCAGGTTTGTCTGAAGGTCTTTAAAAATATTCTTTAAAAAATCCACGTTTGTCTGAAGGTCTTTAAAAATATTCTTTAAAAAATCCACGTTTGTCTGAAGGTCTTTAAAAATATTCTTTAAAAAATCCACATTTGTCTGAAGGTCTTAAAAATATTCTTTAAAAAATCCACATTTGTCTGAAGGTCTTTAAAAATATTCTTTAAAAAATCCACGTTTGTCTGAAGGTCGTTAAAAATATTCTTTAAAAAATCCACGTTTGTCTGAAGGTCTTTAAAAATATTCTTTAAAAAATCCACGTTTGTCTGAAGGTCTTTAAAAAATATTTTTCAAGAAAATCCACGTTTATTGGTCTATTGGTCCTTGAAATAATATTCTTCAAAAAATCCACGTTTATTGGTCTATTGGTCCTTGAAAAAATATTCTTAAAAAAATCCACGTTTATTGGTCTATTGGTCCTAGAAAAAACATTCTTTAAAAAATTTACGTTTATTGGTCTTTGAAAAAATATTCTTTAAAAAACCACCTTTATTATTTATTTTTAAAAATATTTCATTGAAATCGCATACATTTCTTTTTATTTCCAATAATATTTATTTTAAATCGATTTTCAAATCAAAAGTTTTGTAACGTTCATTTACCAATCACATTTGCCATCTATCTGGCATCACTCTGTTCTCTCACTCACTCTTGGGCTCCAATTTCCATGCATCTCTCACAGTAAACGAAATGTAAACAAAACTCATTGAATTGAGCCCATAACAGAAAAATGTGTGGAGCACAGATGCTCTCACAAACATACCATAACAACAGAGAGAGGGTGCCTTACCGTTGTGTTGATTACACTCAATGCTCCAATTGGGGTTGTGGTTGCTCTCTCTATCTCTCCCTCTCAAACTCTGTTGCTGCTCATTAAATTCAAATAAACAATTGTGTGTGAATTTCACTCAAACTCTCTCTCGCACTAACGTGTTTCCGTTTTCTGGAGGGGGGTTTTGTGTTGAGTGTGTTGAGTTAGGACCAAAACAAAAGCTACCGCAACAACAACAACAAAGAAACAAAAACAACACAGAGAGGCTCCCAAACAAGGTTCTGTGTTTATGCTGTTGGCTTTTGCAATGGCATGGCATGCTCTGGCATTTGTTACAACTTCAATCTGTTACGGTATTTCAGACGTGTTAGATGTTATGTACGTAAAATTGCGCTCGTTCGTTTGCGGTCGTTCGAATTTGTTCTACGATTATTTGGGATTTAAGAAATAACAAAATACGTTGTGGTGAACAGCAATAATAATAACAACTAAAAGAAGTTGTGAGAATAAAATTCCCAGAAAATATAAATTTGTAAAGTGAAGCCATTTAACGGTGTTTCAAAGAGTGTACTCCATTGATCAGAGGGTGAAAGAGGTAATACTCCCCAAAACAAGAGCAGTTTAATGGGCGATTAGTAAATCGTGGGAAGTACAAAAAAAAAAAACGAAAATTAAAACCTCAAGAGCAATAACAATGCGAAAAAGCGAATGTTTGTAAACAAAAAAGAAACAAAATAAAAACAATCAAAAAATTACATTTATTTAAAAAATAAATAGAAAAAATACGAAATTGCTAAATTTATATAAGAGAATATTATAAAAGACATAAATTGAGGAAAATAAAATAAAATTGAAATAAAAAAACAAAAGAAAAATAAACGAATAAATGTTAAAAAAAAAAATAAAAAAAATAATTTAAAAAAAAAAATTAAAATAAAATTAAGAATAAAAACAAATAAAAATACAAGCAATCTTATTTAACAAAAAAAAAAAAAAAAAAATAAATAAATAAATAAATAAAAAGTAAAAACTTCTTGAAAAAAAAATAAAATTCAAATATATATAACAAAAACAAAGTATAAAAGTTTATATAAAAAAATATACAAAATTGCAAGATTTTTTACAATAAAAAACAAAATAGGAAATTATTAAAAAATAAAATAATAAAAAATTATAAAATTAAAAGTTTATGTAAAAAAATTGAAAAGATAAAATACAATTTTATATAAAAATAATTAATAAAAACATACAAT